AAAAAAAAATACAGGGGTGTGACCAGAAGCTGGTGTAATGGTTATGTTGCTGGACTCCCATGCAGTTGACTGTGGTTCAAGTTCCGGAGTCAGTGGCTTAAAACTCAAGCTGAATGTGTGTGCGTGCATGCCCAAAATTTCAAGGGGAGAGAAGGGACTGCATGTAGCCATCTACCCTGGGGGGTGATTTCTCAACTTTTGTTTCTTTGTCTCTCTGTGTCTCTCTGGCAAGTTCACATGCCCTAAAAGGGTTAGGGAGAAACTTGGGAGTGGAGATTGCACCTATAATTCTAAGTTTTTCCTCCAATTAAACAGTCAAAACTAAATGTTTAAAAAACAAGGCTAAAAAAATTATCAATTTCTCTCAATTAAATAGTATCTATTGCTAGCCTTTAAATTAACTGTCTCTCACTATTCAGGTACTTAAATTAAAATTAACAAGTAGTTTTCTCCAGGCTTCCCAAGTTAGAAGTTCAAAAAGTCTGGCAATGATAATAAATTAAATGCCCTAATACCTGATCAATTTTGTTTTTTTAGAGAAAATAAAAGTATATTATCAAAGGTTCAATATTTTTCTCTCTAAAAAGCAGCAGCATACTGTAACAAACACAAATTATATTTTAGTAAGAAACAGTAACATAAAATTCCTTATTTTTCTACCAACATTACCCAGTATTTTGCTTAAGAAACCACACATAATCCAAGGTGTGCCCTAAGATTTATATTATAGATCAGAGACATTAAATAATCTCCAGTTTAGTGTATATATCATGAGAATATTCCAAACTGCTTAAGTGAAATAATTAACAATTACAATTCTTTCTGAGATTACAGTTGAGCAAGTAATCAATATTTAAATGATTAACTAAAACCTTGTGTAAGGCTTTACAAATCCTGTCACAAATCTGTTGCCAAATAGAGAAAATGTCTTTATTTCTCTAGAAGAGAATTTTATGAGACATTGAAAACAAGTATCTCCATAATATTTTAGATTTTCCCTATACTAAAACTAATAACAAGTCAGGATATTAAGTAACCTAACATTCTATCACCTACTTGAAATCAGGTCTCATCTACAGGATAGGTTTTATATATTTGGTTATAAGTATACTTCCTATTCGCAAGATGTTATCTTTGTTAGTCTATGCTTCCTGTGGACTGACTGTTAGTGTCCTTTCCAAATTCATGTTGAAATCCTACCTGCCAATGGGATGGCACTAAGTGGTAAGACCTTTGGGAAATAATTAGGTCACAGGGTAGAATGGGATCAAGAAAAGATGAGAGGACTTGCTCTCTCTGGTTGCTCTCCAACATATGACAACACAGTAAGAAGAAAGCTATCTAAGAACCGGAAAGTGAGTCCTCACCAGACACCAGCTCTGCCAGCAGCTTCATACTGGACTTCACATCTTCCAGAACTGTGAGACATAAATGTGTATTGTTTGAGCCATCCAGCATATGACAATGTTACAACAGCCCAAACTAAGATAATATTTAAATACTATTAATGAGTCTGCATTTTACTGATTCCTTGGTTTAGCATGTTAAATATCTAAAACTTCTAACCACAGTTAAATCTACTATATCTTGTGAATTAGTTTACCCATCTGTATTGAGAGCTATTACCAAACTCTTTGAAGAACTACTTTACCCTATGATAAATTATGTTATCTTCCATACTCTATCCGGGAAGAACTGAAAGTACAGATACTAAACATGCAAAGTTGTTGGCAAAGGAGTAGTGACAATTACAAGTGAAAATTTTAAGCCAGGAAACAGACTACTTAAGCATTACAGCTAATTGTTTGCCTTACCAAAGTGTGTTCACAACTATTTTTAAACATGTAGAGAGGGTTTCCATTAATGTATTTGATTCATTCCTTAGCTTTAACCCTAGAATGAGCATGACACCAAATCAAAAATTCTTAGAAAGATGTAGAAGCCCATGGTACAACAGTTAAGCGCTGCACACAGAAAGCCAGATCCCACATCACTCACCAGGGTGTGAGTCTTGGTCCTGGTGGCTTGAAAAACATGCCAGGCATGCATACACTGAGGATCCTGACCCGATGGAGAATTGATGGAAAAAGGATTGTGGTACACCGTATGACCAGGCCACATAGGGGAGGGAGAAGATGTGTTTTACTCTTTTTGGTAACAAAAAAAAAAAAAGGAATTCTTAGAAGAAACTTTGTATAAATTAGCAGCTCCCCTCCTCTCCTCCCCCTCCCCTTTTTTTTTTGCCACAGGGTGGGTGCACTCCCCAGAGAGAGACTGAGAGGGAAAGTGAGAAATCACCCCCTGGAGGGATAGCCACACCACAATCCCTTTCCTCCATTTCCCTCTGAGGATTCTGAGTGCACACCCGCTACATCCAGGATTTGAACCATGGTCAGCCATGTGGGAATCCAAAGCCTCAACCATCACACCACCCAATGGCCCTTCAATCCTCATTTTTTATCAGAAGTGTCTGTTTCTCAACTTTAAAGACATACACTCAAAAAAGCTTAGATTTGGGAACCAGCAGTTAGCGTAATGGCTATGTCACTGGACTCCCACATAGTCGACCGCGGTTCGCGTCCCGACCCGGTGGCTTAAAACTCACGCCGGGCGCGTGTGCATGCGTGCCCAAGATCCCGAGAGGCGAGCGCACGCGCCCTACAGTGAAAATCTCTCCAAAAAAAAAAAAAGCTTAGATTTGGTCTTGCATTTGGCAATAGTTATTTAATACATTCTGTATGCCAAGGACAACCAGGGGCTGGCTATATATTCAGCTCTCCTAACTTTAGAGAGCTTACTATCTAGACAGGAAGAGTTTCCTCAGACATTAAACTAATAAAATTACAAGCTGTGGTTATTTCCTATCTGCACTGCATTTCTCTCTGTTGGTAACTGGGTGACCACATCTTTTTTAGGCATATTCTGCAGAAAGAAGCTTGGGTAGTTATTTGATGATCACAGATAATAGACTGTAGGTGGAAGATACAGAAAAAGAAAAAAACAGATAAATTTCAATTTAAAAGCTATCAAGAAATCTAAGGACAACATAGGCATGTACACACATGTGTTCACAAGACAGCTTCTAATCAGAGTGGAAATTCATCAGTAATTTTTCTTGAACCCTGTTATCTATGATGGTGGAAGACACACACATATTCCAGCTTTTCAATTAAATTTTCCTATCCTAAATTCATTTAGAAAAACATCAGTACTTCAGCATGCAAATTCAAAGTGACTTCAGCAAGATGAGTCTTTGGGTAATAACCATTTATAATGAACTTCATCATTTATATTTTAAGATCTGCGTGGAATTTACATTCAAATTAACCTTCAGCGTAAATTATTTTTCAGACATAGCTTCTGTTTGCCACAGCCCAGATGAAAGTATACAAATATTGAGAACTTTAAAGATTAGAACTCTGCATTTTTACTTCCCACCCCACCTCCATTGCAACATTTTCTTTAAATAACTGCTAAATACTCCAGCTCTCTTCGTTCCCTTTTCCCCAAAGAGAATGCAGTAGTTGATGTTGGATAAACTCACAATTAAAATTTTTTTCTCTACTTTGACTTTGAAAGGTTTTTTTTTTGAAAGAGTTTCTTTAAGAAACATTTGCATTTTAAACATTTACTTGTAGACATAGTTCTATTAAAAAAGAAAAAAAAAAAAAGACAAGAAAAGATGAGAAGCCAAGTTCCCGAGGGAGTTTATTTAGGGTCTCTTCCCCACATCTCGCTGTTTAAAAACCCTCTATTCCTCACTTCTGATGAGGGTTGCTGCTGACTTTACAACTCCCTACACATCTGGGTCTATTCATTGTTATTTCAATGTATTTAAAATCACTTCTCCCTGGTGCCTGAAATGTTTTAACTACTATTATTTTTGTAACTTGTGTGTTTTCTGCCTCTGGTAATGGTGTTCCCTGTAAAGACGGTATCCTTGGAACTCATTTCCCTTTTCAACAAAGTTTCATTTCATTTCTTATTCAGGTGTAACGGTTTCCGCCCTCCACAACTTAGTACTTTGTAGCCAAGTAGCTTCCCTAACTTTCTAAGACAAAATACTTAGGCAGTGGAATCATTACCAGATCGTCATTCTTCCCAGGTTCCTACCTGTTGCGGGTACCTGGCCAGAGTGGATGAGTCAGTTTCGTCTAAAGGGCCCTTCCTTTTTCCACCCACCGTCCTTTTAGCTTTTTGCAGCGCCTCCCAAATGCACGTCAACGGCTACTCCGGGCCCCAAGACCCTGCCGGGCCCGAAGCTAGGTGGTTCTCCACCCCAGATGGAGACGGGCGCGGCTCTACTCTCGGCAAAGCGAGTGGAGCGCGCAAGGAACGCCCGGAAGCGCGGGCACACAGGCGAAGGGAAGAACGTTACTGTAACTCGGCTTCGACCTGGACCCTCGACGTCTGGAGCTGCCCTGACAACCAGCGCCAACCAACTCGTCCCGCCGCGTTCCAGGCCCTCGGCTCGGCTGCCCGGCCTTCGCGTATAGTCTTTCGCTCCCTCCCCCTCTCCCCGGAGGCACGTGGTCGCTCTCCGCCCTGCCCCCGCCACACTCCTCCACTGCCAGCCCCGGCCGGCCCCCGGCCCTTTCCTCCCAGCGTCGCTCGCTTCCCCTTTCCGTTCGCTCTTTCCGCCCCCGCTCTCTATCGCCCCTTCTGATTGGTCAAGCGCACCGGAGCCTGGTTGGCCAATCGGCAAGCTGGGCTGGCGGCGATGGGCGTGGCCGCAGCGCCGGGGCCCTCAGA